AACAGAGAGTGATTACCCGGTCGGCTGGCTATATTTGCTGTCAGGAAGGATGGAAAATGAGGTAATAGAGGAAGATTTTCAAGTGCTAGCTGGATTGTGGAGGAGGGCTACGTTATGGGTAATTTGGAAAGCAAGATGTAGGGAGACCTTGGAAGGACAGGAGAGGAGCACGGAAGAAAAATGGGCAGAAGTGAAAAACATAATTCAAACTGAAATAAGAGCCAGATGGATCACCAAAATGCAAAATTAGTTTTAAAATGTCAACCAAATTTAAGTACTGATTACTGGAGTGAACCATGAATCCTTTTTTTTTGCGTTCCGAAGAATGAGATGTCCGTTTGAATGACATCATTGTTATAATTATGATAATTTGTAAAAAGATTTCTCTTTTCTTTCCTTCAGCCTTGAAACCACCTGTACATGACCCCAGCCAAGTTGAGAATCACGATTGGGCCTCTCTGGAAAAAAATGGAGGCTCGGGGCAACCAGACCAAAATGGCTGACGGTGCCAGCCGAAACAAAAACAAAAACGCTGCGCTGGTGTTTCGGCAAAGCATGGCACACAGTGGGAATCTGCCTCGTACAAAAGTGGCACGGATGTACTGGTGGTTTAAGGCTTTTTTTCCCCCTTTAACCACTAAAAATATATCGTTTCAATGCAAAGTTTACGATAATGGAACAATTCAAATTTCAAACTCCAAACAGATTGTTCTTATTTGTTCTCCTGCAAAGAGTTTCAGCTTTGAGCACAGCGTACCTGTTTACCTGTTCACTCTCTTCCTTGTCAAGTTATCAGCACTGACAGCAACAAGTTCGGCTGCTTGACTACTCGTTTCAGGTGAACGACATTCTTTCGCTTGGATCGTCAAATATGATTCCCATCCAAGTGCTACGACAGCTCGATAACGAAGGTGGCACCTCCGTAGGTCCAGCAGTTACTCGTAAATGTCTCGCGCAGCTTCATAGGGTGATTGCATCCCTGCATCGCACAAGTCCTCCAGTGCAATCGAAGAGTGCTGTCAACAGAGAGCTGCGGTCAAAGCCCATGCGGGAGCGGGAGGTAAAGTCCGCTGAGCGAAGCAAATCCATTTATCATGCCGATCCACAGTGTTATGCAAGTGACCTGCTCCGAGCTGTCGATGCTGTAGAAGAGGAGGCAGTGAGATCAGAAGCTGCTGTATCCGATGCATTGTTTTGCCTACTTTCAGAACCAACAACAAAGGCATTGCCCTTGCCCTCAACCCAATTGGGGCGAGAGAGTGTAATCTTTCGAGGGGCCTTGCACCGAACTCGCTGAAGGATGAAGGAGAGGCAAAGGATTGGGCCTAGAAAGCATAGTCTTCCACAGGGCATTGCATCAAACCCGTCGACGGATGAAGCGGAGCCCAAGGATTGGAGTGAGAAAGCTTAACCTTCCAAGGGTCATTGCAGCGAAGCTGTTGAAGGATGTAATGGAGCCCAAGGGTTGGTCAGAGAGAGAGAGAGAGAGAGAGAGAGAGAGAGAGAGAGAGAGAGAGAGAGAGAGTGTAATCTTCGAAGAGGCCTTGCGCCAAACTCGTTGAAGGATGAAGGAGAGGCAAAGGTTTGGGCCGAGAACGCATAGTCTTCCACAGCGCATTGCATCAAACCTGTTGAAGGATGAAACAGAGCCTGAGGATCGGACAGAGAAAGCTTAAACTTCCAAGGGGCATCGCACCACAGCTGTTGAAGGATGGAGTGGAGCCCAAGGGCTGGGCCGAGGAAACCTAATCTCTCAAGGGGCACTCTGCACCAGAGTTGCTGAGCAATACAGGTGCAAAATTATTGACAAAGAGAAAGGACAATCAAGCATGAGGAAATGACCAAGTCCCTTTGCTGGCCAGCGGTAGAGTCCTCGCCATTAACTGGCAAACTAGCCAGTGCTTTCCTGTTCCCTGGTCCCCTTCAAGTTAGGCAGGTACCAGCGGAGTTGTTGAAAAGCGCGCGGGGTAACCAATGACGGCCAAGATGTTTGCCAGATATGTAAAGTGGCCGCATGCCTTTGAACCACTAGTTCCTTTCCCGTATATTTTGTTTTGGCGTGGTGGTTAACGCACCTCTTTAACAGCGGTTCGGGCTAGCAGATCGAGATGGCTGGCAGTGTCAGGGAGAAAGTAAACATTTTGTGCCTCCGTCTGTTCATTTTTTGGGTGCACAGCAGCAATCCGCGATGGGAAAAAGGTCTCACAGAGGCTGGTGGTTTAAACCACCAGTGTTATGACCTGTCATCACACGGACTGAAACAGACAGCCGATTTCTGAGTCTTGCCGTGGAATGCATGCCATACTAAGTTCCCCCGCCTGCTAAGTCTGCTTGTGTGTGTGTGTGCTGGACTGCATGTCTGTCTGAATGCTGGCTGACCTGTGTGAGTGTGCTGCGTGCCTGTCTAAGTGACTTGAGTGTGTGTGTGGCCCCGTCGGGGTCGTGGATGTGGGGGCAGGACC